GGACATCATTAACAATGGAAATCATATGAATCGTGTGTTTGATATGGATTTGGTTCCTCTTCCACATAATTCATCATTTATTTTATTTCATACTAACAGAAATGCACTTTTTGCAAGTCTCTGCCCCCTGATACACTTCCTCCTTCCTTCAGTTCTCTCTCTCTTGTCCTCTATTATTTTCCTTCCTGGCTGACTTTTCTTTCTTTTCATCTCATTTTTTATCTCTCTCAATTTGTTCAGATGTCTTTCTTATCAAAGTTCTTCAGGCAACCTGACCTCCTTTCTCAGTAAACCATTGCAGAACTAAGGGGCCCTACAGAAAAATCCCTAGGCCTGCTTCCAGGTTTATTATATTTTGGGATAGTAACTGGGAGTAGTAAGGGAGCCCCGGGTGGAGCAGTGGGTTAAAGCACTGAGCTGCTGAGCTTGTTGATCGAAAGGTTGCAGGTTCGATTCCGGGGAGCGGCGTGAGCTTCCGCTGTCAGCCCTAGCTTCTGCCAACCTAGCAGTTCGAAAACATGCAAATGTGAGTAGATCAACAGGTACCATTCCAGCGGGAAGGTAATGGCGCTCCATGCAGTCATGCCGGCCACATGACCTTGGAGGTGTCTACGGACAACGCTGGCTCTTTGGCTTAGAAATGGAGATGAGCACCACACCCCAGAGTCAGACATGACTGGACTTAATGTCAACCTTTACCTTTACTAACTGATATCTCTCCATGTTACTAAAGACACACTGAAGGTTACTACTCGTTTTTAATTAACTAAAATTAACCAATCAATTTTTATAAAGAAAACAACTACAGTGTGTACACTCTTGGAGTACCCATTAGTATTTAATGCAACATGTCAGGTCCCAAAGTATCACAATCTTGGAGCTATAAGGGCTACACCAAGACCATTTCTTTCTTTCATTATTTCAGATTGGAAAGGGATTAAGTGAAATCTATTGAAGCCCAGTATTTTTGTACTACCAAATGTTCTGTCTGGAGAACAGTGATTGGAGAAGCAGCATATGTGACACAACTGCTTTTAAGCATTTGCAGTAGCTATCACATGTGTTGGTTCCTGAGTGATTAAGATCCCAGATCATATTATGAAAGCAGTCCACATCTGTCAAGGGAGACAGAAAGGGAACCAATGCCATGTGGGCATTCCCAAATGGGAAATCTATGCTGTTGAATTTTCCCAGGCTGCAGAGGATACTTTGCTGTGAATTATAAGGGCCACATAAGGCTAACATTCTTAGGTCACATTCTCAGCTGGTGTGAGCATCCACTTACTCTACTGGAGAGGTGCCAGTTTCCAGTGACCAAGAGTGTATTTAAATAGAACAAATGCTGCATATCCAAACCATGGCTGCTAGAAAGCAAGTGCCACTGGATCCAGAAGCACTTATTTCTAAGAACACATGATTGTGGGTCTGCTTCTTCTGTGAGTGACCATGAATGTTCAAAGAATACTTTTTCAACCACATTTTCTATCATGTTGGAACACTTTAAGGAAACATAGAAAAAATCTTCAAGAAAATTGAATGTCTGGAAGGAAGCAAAATAATATTCTGCTTATTTATATTGTTGACTTATATGCTAAAATAAAAATGAAGGGAAACAATTATGAAGTTAAGAGAGAGGGATAGCTCAGTTCTTGGTCAGACCATTACACATTCATTATGCAGCGTCACTCTGTTATGAAAAATAATAATTCTAATAGCAGATCCATATGTTCAGAAACTACATGTCAGTGTTCTGAAGTCTGTGTAAAAAAAGTATAGGGGAGCAGCACTGTATCACTTACCTTGGCACTAGAACTCCATGTAGTTTCAGTTGATCATATTAAGCCATATTTAACCCCTCAGAGAAACCCTTATCTATGCATGTAAATCCACCCAGAAAACTGCTCTTTGGAGCATACATATGTCATTATCAATTATTAAGAAAAACACATATGGATAATTTTAAAAGGTCTTCCTTGGCCTGAGAAGAAGAAAAAACAGTGTGTGCAATTATATGTTTTCTGGAATCGGAATATTGAATCAGGGGTATTTCCTAAAGAATCTTATTATTCAATGAATATTTCTTTCAGCCGAAACATTATTTCTGGCAGCCTTGGCTCTAATGTGCCACTGCATGGTTTGAGTTTCTCTTTGTAAAACCCTGAAATGCTGTCCAAAGAAAATTAGCTTGCCAAGATCATTTGCAAATGTTCCCTATTAAACATGAGAACCCAGCACTTTGGCATTTTTTGTAAGCATGCCACATTAACTCGAGGTTTTTTTTTGTTTGTTTTTTGCATTAGTAAGGGGTGAGTGAATGGGAGTCAATCAATATTTATGATGATTATTATGATTAGCAAAGTGACCTATTCAGGGTTTAGAAACAAAGCTAAATAATGCCCACATCAGAGGATGAGAATGGGATGTCTGCCTATCCATGTCAGCCAGCCACTGACACATTTGAAATGTTCAGTTTTAAGATTGTGTTGTTTAAAAACAGACAACAGGCAGTCCCCAAGTTATGAACAAGATAGGTTCTGTAGGCTTGTTCTTAAGTTGAATTTGTATGCAAGTTAAAACAGGTACATTTTAAAGTGTAACTCCAACTGTATTATAAGCTTTGGATAGCATAGGGAAGTGTTAACATGTCTGTGGTGTTCGTTTTACTGTCTGTGCCCCTGTTCATAATATCTGATCCCACTTTCTGTCCATGTGATAATTGGATTTTGAAAAATATGGCTTGTTGCAGAAACAAGGATTGGTAAAGTTTCAGTGGAGACAACTTTTCCCCATGATAACTGTTCTGATTGAATGTTCCTTCTTAGGTATAGATTTTTCTCACTTCCTGTTATCTCACCCTGGTTCTTAACTATGATTCCACTGGAAGTCGGAAGTTGGATTTTTTATACGTGTGTGTGTGTGTGTGTGTATACATACATACTTGGGGACTGACTGTACTATATTTCTCATAATAAGGAACTTAAAGTGAAGATTGCCTGGAAGTACTGTCTTTCTTGCCCTCTTGTGGTGTGTTTACATATTGTACAAGAGAAGAGTAAAATTCCACTCTGTGAGCTGGTATATCAGCGTTACAACTACCATATTAAGAACCAGAGATTGGAAATGTTACTTTTTCGAATAGCAATTTATATTGACCAATGCTACCTGCTTTAATACAAGAGCTGTAGTTCAAAACCATAAGCATTTCAAGTTCTAGTATGAGCATCTGAAAAGCATATGGAGTATCAATTCATTACTTCATGACACTAAAGAATGAATCCACTTTAAATCCCATTTCTACCTCCTGCAAAATTCTGAGGTTAGTAGTTTAGTGAGGCTGTTAAAGGCTCCTCCCTGAACTACAAACCCCAGAATTCTGCAGGAGGCAGCAACCAGATTGAAAGTGGATTCATTATCTAGTGTGGTCAGTCTTCCTAGTGCATTGTGATCTCTGTCAATAGCTCTCTTGAGACAATATTCCATTGTGCTTCTTCAGAACCTTCTACTGAAAGAGGATTCCAAGGACTGAAACCTGGGACCTGTTGCCTGTCAAGTCTGTGCTTTACATTGAGACTCCTTCCACACACCACACAGAATTATATGGCAGTGTGAACTGGAGGGCCTTCCACACAGCCACATATCCCAGAATATCAAGGCAGGAAATCCCACATAATCTGAGTGTGGACTCAGGTAACCCAGTTCAAAGCAGATATTGTGGGATTTTCTGTCTTGATATTCTGGGATATAGGGCTATGTGGAAGGGCCCTGAGTTCAAAGCAGATATTGAGGATTATCTGCCTTGATATTCTGGTTTATATGGCTATGTGGAAGGGCCCTGAGTTATGGCCCTTCACTACTGAGGTGACAGAATATTTGTTTTAAAACACATCTTCATCTTTCCAGTGGTAGGCACATTGTGTAAACAAGTATTCATTGTCCATAATGATATGGTCTCATTTCTTTGTTTCCTTGATTGTATGCCCCTTGCCACTTAGTCCCCCTCTACACTGCCAGATAATCCAAGTTATCAAAGCTGAAAATCCAAATTATTTTATTTGAACTGGATTATCTTAGTCTACACGGCCATATAATCCAGTTCAAAGCGGATAATGTGGATTTTATATAGCTGTGTAGAAGGGGCCTCAGATGGAGGTCTATCAGTATCTCCACAGGAGACATTTCAACTCTAAAACACATGAATGTACCAAAGGACTAGATTTTCATGTTCCACTTGAAAGTGCCTGTGGGGTGGAATAGAAAACTAGGAAGCTGAACGTATACTTTTTTCATCAGTGCTTTCCACAAGGAGGGGAGCACACACTTCATTCTTGTTGGGTCTGTCTTCTCTGATTGTTTTTCCAGAACCCTGAGATGACACCAAAATTAGGTTGGTGCAAATGGCAGAGGATGAAAGAAATGCTGAACCCCAGAATTTGAGCTCAGTACTGAATGAAGTTGGGAGTCCTTCACGAAAATCCCCTCCCAGTTGCCCCAAGCTTCCCCCCCCCCCAATTTCAGCAGATTAATTTAAAGGAAGAAGATGCTGTCTGAATGCTCTGCTTGTTCAGTAATCATTAACCAGAATTCTTAGCCCTCTGGATCCAGAGCTACCTTCTGCCCATTCTACAAAGATGAGATCTCTCTGCCCCTAACAAAGACACTTCATTAAAAAGAAAGAAATCAAAGTGAAGCAAAAGCTGCAAAAATACCCTAGCCACTCTGCCTCAAAACAGCCTTCATAACCAGCTTCAGTTCTATTCCTAAGGAAAATCCAGGTATTCATTTAGAACCCCTTAAACTTACATGCAATACAGCATAGTGTACATGTTGAATCTTAAGGTAGGCTCAACATAAGGCATGCACAGGATCACTGCATTCATTTTGCTTCCTAAAAACCTCATTTCTAGCTCTCTATAAGTTGAGGTCACACCCTACATTCTTTACACACACGTGAGCCATGTTTCCTCATCTCCGGAGCCACTGAAATCTTGGCAGTTACAGAATGAAGGACATGGAGGGCATTTATTGAAACTCGCCTGGAACCAGCCTAAGGCAGGACCACAATTTCTTAGCAAATATAAGTTATGGTGAAGATTGATGAGAGTTGCACTCCAAATTATCTGCCCATCCCTGCTCCGAGACCATATTAAGCACATGTTTAATGTTATCTTGCAATCTGTGGGGTTTTTATGCTATCATTATTTGCATAGCCTTAATACAGCTCAGGAACATCTCTGATAGCAGAAACAAAATTGGTGAGGGAAAACCCGGACAGAATATAAACACAGATAAATGATATGCTTAAAAGATACATGGGGGGGGGGGGGACACATTCGCTGCCAGTGATATTTCTTCTCTTTCAGAGGCTTTCTGCTCCTCTCAGGCTTCCCGTTAATCTGAAACTATACATTACATCTTGGCACTGAAGCTGAACAGGTACAAGCTGAAAAGTCTATTTATACATTTTTTCCAGAATTAATATATCTTCTTAGATCTCACCAAAGTGTATTCCAGCAAAATCATTTTTGCTTACCTCCTACCTTGCATTATTCATTTACACTTTACAGAATGCCTGCACATTGTTGACCTATAAAGCTAGTTCTTTATAGGCAAATGAAGCCTTCTCTGTGTAGGTGTTACAGCTGCTAATAAAAGGCCATGATCTTGTGAGCTGGCATTACGATGATGGCACAGTAGCAGAAGGGTAAAATGGGCACAAGTGCTGCAGTGAAGGCTGGGGATGGATAAGGCTTGCAAAACACTTGTCTCTGTTATACAAAGGGATCTTATAGCACCTTAGAGACTTAGAGAAAGAGGTCAGTAGCATAAGTTGTCATAGAGAAACCTACTTCCTCAGATTCTCGGTTGTGTCAGTTAGGTAATAACCCTGACCTACCGATTTCTAAACTGCTAAGGAGATGTCAGAGCAGCTTTCTCTGATAACATCTTTATCACACAATGCTACGCACCACTCCAAAAGATGCCTTACTCCAGCATAACAAATTGTTACACTAGCATGGGGTACCATCGGAACTGCAGCCAAAATAAAGTGGACCGGCATTTTGCCTACTTCATATTAGCCTACCAGGATACTAACTGGCAAAAGTTTTTTTTCTCATCGCTGAATATAAGAATTTATAACACCGAAGCATTTGGGAGCTGGTCTTGCCCCTTCCTCTGGATCTAGGAGGTATCTGAAAACTTGGAGTGAGGTAAGAAGATGAGTGCTTCTCTTCTTAGGAGGCCTTCAGTCCCATGATGCAATCTGTCATATAGCCTGCCTTCGTTCACTTAACCATCGGGCCCTATAAGTAGTCCATCCTCTTGGGCTCTTATCGGATGGAGAAGCATTGTGCATTTGGACCAATCTAGCCTGAATCCTGTCCTGCCAAGACCGGTCATCAAGCTCAGTGGCAGCAGCCAATGCCAAGAGGAAATAGCTGGTGGCATCTTGTTCATCCTGACAATAAAAAACAAGGCAAAAAAATACTCAGTGAATACTGGGGTGACCAACTTGCAGCCATGGATTAAAGGGAGATTTAGTTGTAACAAATTTTGCGCAATTTTAATGATGTGGTATCACTCTAGCAAATGTTTTATTTATTTTCATTACACACATATGCACATATGTCTTTACAAAACTGGAAATGACCTCCAAGTAGTAACTGGGATTGAGAACCTGACAAGATGTGGGTGGTGGGTTGCATTTAAATTGAGAATTATATCATCTGGAGGACTCTGGGGTGTTTTTTTAAAGGGGTGATGTGGGAGAGATTTGGGGACCACATAAAAGGCCAACACATCTGCAAGCTTCCCTCGAGTTGTACAATCCCACCCCCGTCATAAACAGAAATGAAAGGCAGAAAATTGAAGAGGAAAATTTTGTAGACTCGAAGAAGCCAGAGCAGGCTCTCGTACTGGAGTGAGGCAGAAGACAGATGTAAACATCACTACAGAAGGGAGGAATCTAATACATGTCAGCAGATACCTTTAGAGCTATTACATAAATTAGCATGGCCTTGCCTAATGTGCCCTTTATACATAGGGAGAATACTACTCCTAACATCCTTGACTATTGGTTATATGGTTGGGAAGGACTGGGTTGGGAACAGCTGATTTAATGCTGTAGTGAGTAGCTTCATTTAAGCACAGTAACTGGCCTTGTCAGACCATTAGTGAGAGGCACTCCAGCTGTGTGCGGCAGCCTGCAGTTTCTCACCTTTAATTTGTGCAGGGTCAGGTCTCCCAGGCGGTAGTAGACCTTAGAATAATACATGGCTTCCTGAATGCCTTGCAACAAGGGTGGGCGCAGAGAAAGTGTCCTCAGATAGCAGTCCTCAGCCATTTCATACATTTGCAGAAGATAGTATGCAGTTGCAAGGCGATGGAAGGCCACCACTTCTTGCCACTGATCTCCTGGAAAGGAAAAAAAAGAAACATTATGACTACCAAAAAAATCATGAACTTGTGAGTGAGCAATGTTCTAATTCAGGATTTGCCTCAAATTCCCTTATTTTTAAAACACCCCAAGGTGTCAATCAGCAATCACTTATTAATAACTAAGCCAAGATCCAGAAAATCTTTAACGATTTCAGTGTTTTTATATTACTTCACTTCACCAATAAATGTTTCTTCTAAAGGTTGGAGAGAAAGGGAAGGACAAGCCACAATGAAGAAGGACGGAAGTAAAAAAATCCCTCCCCCCTTTTTACTTCCTTTTTCTTTTCTCTATTTTTCTATTTTTCCCATTCTCATTTCATATTTTAAATCTATACATGGAAAATTTCAATAAATATTTTTTAAAAAACAATAAATCAGTTCTTGTGGGTTTTTTCGGGCTATATGGCCATGTTCTAGAGGCATTTCTCCTGACGTTTCGCCTGCATCTATGGCAAGCTTCCTCAGAGGTCTGAAGGTAGAAACGTCAGGAGAAATGCCTCTAGAACATGGCCATATAGCCCGAAAAAAACCCACAAGAACTGAGTGATTCCGGCCATGAAAGCCTTCGACAATACATAAAACAATAAATGTTTCTTATAATTCTAATTGAATCATTCTGACTGCAGAAACAGGAATCTGTCTGGAGAAAGAGGCATAAAATAACAATTCTTTCCCAAAAACTGTGTTCTTGGCTCAGAGTCACTAATATGCATAAGATTAGATAAGCTAGTTACAGGTAAAGCCTCCAAATTTATTTAAATGACATTTTAAAAAACAAATTTCAACTTTTGCGATATTGCTATGGGGTTTCTTAAATCTGACAAGGCTTAGGTCTTTTGCATGTATGAATCAGGCTCTGCTCTGTTGTATATGATAGGACACCTACTCATTTCCCTTTCCTCTTTCTTATCTAAAATCAATGCTGGCACATTTCCTTTGGAACAAGAAAAAGAAGGCGCCCATTCAAATCTGCAGTGACATTTTCTGCTTCTCCTCTCACACTTCATATGTACTGTGGATTGCCCTTGGAATTTTGTGATGGAAGCTGCTTAGGAATTGTCATTTTTTTAAAAAAAAATTGTTGGACAATTACAACATTTCTCTGTCTGCTTTCCACACTATGAATTTTGATATGACTACGCCATAAATCCAGTGTGCTTTCCTACCTACATCCACACTGAGCCTGGCTGCCAAGGTAGCAAATTCCAATGCATTTTCATAATTCTGGAGTCCAATCTGCAGCTCTGTCAGCTTGTTGAACAGCCTCAGCTCAGTCTGCAAGGCCTTCAGCTTCCTAGCCAAAGGTACAGCTCCTCCCTGCCAAGAACAAGAAACAGAGTTTTCACCTTACATCACAAGTTCCTAGCTACCATGTCACCTCAAATGTTAAGGGAGGTCTTCAGAAAGAAAATCTGACCATCACACCCAATCCCAGCATTTACCACTGCATTCACCTCTCTCTAAAAACCATCATTTATTTTCAAGTCTAACTGAACCCAACAAGGCTTAAGGCTTACTGATTTCTTGTCCATACTAATGGACATTAAGACATCATTGCCCACATATTCTGTCCTGTCTCTTGAGCTTCCAAAACAATAAGATACTGTCTGGTATTGCATTTGTAATAGTAAAATTTGCCCATTCAGCTCTTGTTGTAAAAACAAAGCCTTCTCTTCAGGTCTCAAGTCAACACAACTCAGTTTAGTCTTCTGCTACTATAAGAAGAACACCATGCACATATATTTCTGAACTGAATGGAAGATCGCCCTTAGGACACAACATTCAAACAGCTAATGCCACAATTGGAAATGCCTATATTTTATGTATTCCAGGTTTTCAATAATATTGCTATCCAAAATTGTCTTTAATATGAGAGACTGTCTCATTCTTTAGTTGAAGCCCAATCTTCTAATTTAAATCTATCAACCAATGAGAATGGCTTAGGCAGCATCATAATACAATACAATATTTGATCATTCTACCTTCACTTGTGGGTTTCACTCTCCCAAAAAGTCAGGCAAAACTGTTTGAGAGGCCAATTCAAGTTCCATGAGCATAGGTGGAGAGAAACTATGCCAAGACATCATCATACAGCACCTGTACTTCTATAAATAACAAATACCATTTTTTGTTGAACATATTTAAATATTCAACTCTGAATTTTTAAATATGTTTTGGCTGTTTTAGATAAACACCAAGCAGCCTTACCTCACCTTCAGGTAGAAAAGAGGTAAGACTTTAAAAAATGAAGAGAGAGAGAGAGGAGGAAAGACTATACTGGCACATGTATGTCAGACTTGTGAGTTGTATCACTAGACTGAATTTATGGATTTTGCACACAAACACTGCCTGACAGTTTATTTCTTTCAACTCTCTTCTTTCTACTTATGTATTATCTTTTCAATCAGCATCAACAGTATTCATGTAAAGCTTTGACATGAACATCTACATGGGTATGGACTGTTGCACATGTAGGGCTGAGGGTGGCTACCCTGTAATATTCCACTGCTCTCTCTCTGTTCCGGACTCCATTGAAGAAGACATCACCAGCTTCTTCATACAGTTCCATGGCCAGGTGAAGCTCTTCGGGTCTCAGTGCTGACTCTATGGCTGCCTAGAAAAGAGATCCAGTTGGAATAAAAGGTTATGTAGTATGCATCATGCAAAAAAAAAAATGGTACCCATTATCACTAAAACGTAAGAATAAATGATGATAGATCTGAACTTTTGCAATTGGGTATGTATGCAAATTTCGTGTTTCATTTCTGAATAAACACATGAATGAAGAGTCTAAGCAGGTATATGTTGGCTGAGTCTCCCTTATGTCTAGGACCAGTTTTTGATTTTAGAGTTCTTCCTCAAAATTTGGAATACCTGTATTTGCATGTACATATGGGAACCCAAGTCTAAACAAGAAATTGATTTATGCTTCTTATACACATAACCTTAAGGTAATTTTATACACAATATTTTAATACTTTTGTACATAAGCAAAGTACATCAAACCATCAGAAAGCAAAGGTATCACTATCTCAGTCATGTCTGGACAATTTTGATATTTGGTGTATTTTGAATTTTGGAATTCTGCATATATTATTTCAAATTGAAAGTAAGGTTCTTACACAAGAACTGAGACTAGAATTGCACACAATTTATATTTTTGACTGACATATCAGGTCTGGATCACTATTACATAGCATGAAGACTTCTTCACAATGATAGCTGACAGTCCTTGTGATTATGGAGGATCAGATTTGCTAAATGCTGACTCCCCAGCAGTCATCCCTTTTAAAATATGACATGGATTACCCCAATGCCCCTCTATAAAAATGTTTCTAGAATTCAAATCCCTTTTTAATACATAGACTACAAATAAATTAAATTAAGTAAACATATTTAGTTACATCTGTTCATAGCTGCCTATTTTTTAAAGAATAGTAGTTAAATTATGACCTTAAGTCATAGAATTTGAGGTTTTTAGTAGGGTATTTAAGAGACCAAAGTAAATGCAGATCTCCTGCATAAATTAAGTCTTGAGTCAGAGCACAAATCTGAACACTAGTTTAATATAGACGTGTAGACCTGACGCTACATTGCCATATAATCCATTTCAAAGCACATAATTATATTGCATGTAGAAGGGGCCACAGTGGGTCCTCCTGTTTCTACTGTACCTGCAGATACATTTCCACAAGTTCATCCTCTTGCATTTGATAGTAGAGCCGTCCAGCCTGTAACCAGGCCTGTGCTGCCTTTACCGTTTCCTCCATGTCAATGAAGAGCCTCAGACTCTGCTTGGTACAGTCCAAGGCCTGCTTCAAAGATCTGTGGAGTTCACAGGTGCTCCATTATTACAAAGAACACATGGGTGTTCAGGCTCAAAGTCAAAGCCAATGAATCAACTTCTGACAAGCCCTGCTAAGCCTCTCCTTTGTGTCATCAGCTGTCCAACCCTGGGATGTTTCCAAATGTTCAACACCTTACACACAAAAGGCAGAGAACGTAAAGCTATTTTGCAGAAACCCTGTCTTTAACAGATCTACTGCAGTAAGAAACAAAGAAAGGCAAATATGACAGGGAGGGAAAGTGGAAAAACACAGAAGACGGACAAGTGGAAACACTGCATGAATTCTCTGAATCACACCCGAGTCTCCAGCAAATTCCATGAACAATCCAGAGGGCCTGCACAAATAAAAACCTTATCAGGAAACATTCCTACCATTCAGACTGAAATATTCCCTTTAGACTGTCTCATAATCAGCACAGCAATTCTTACAAAACAGATGGAACAGAGCAGTTATGTCATAGTGAACTGCTACCCTATGTATATTACTGCAACTGGGTGCAAGAATAACAGAGACTGTTTAGAGTTTCATTCTTCAAGAGATGTCATATTCTGGATCATCATATGTATTTTCCACAGTGAGTAGCTTCAATATTAAAGAAAGGGAAAGGATGGATCTCAGGCTGATGCGTGCCAAGATAAAAACTCCACAAAGATTGTGAAACAATATGAGAGTAAATTACTCGCATGGGATATATTCCTTCTTCCTCAAGGTAAGCAGATCAATGATGTGAGATGTATGCATGTAGATTGAGGGATAAAGTTGAGATCATACAGATGTTAGAAAGAGTGTATACTAGGATGTGCAAGAAAAGATAAAGGTGTAATTTTAATAAATACTAGCTGTTTCCTGCCACGTGTTGTTGTGGCCCAGTTTTGTGTATGTATATGTGTGTGTATATATTTGTGTATATGTGTGTTTGTGTATACATATGTGGGTTTGCGTATGCGTTGTAATGTAATATTTGTGTTTTGGCCTTTTAAGTCTCTTCTGCTGAGTTTTTCAGTGTTTTTATGAGTGATAGTCACTTGTTGGCCTGATAGGTGTATTGTGTCCAAATCTGGTGTCAATTGAACCAGTGGTTTTTGAGTTATGTTAATCCCACAAATGAACATTACATTTTTATTTATATAAATTTGCTTTTCCTGTATTTTTAAAATCAAGCTTTCTTTTAAAAGTTTGTTTTAGGTTTCTATTGCTCCTCAATGGAATAATGATCATTTATTTTATATTGGCTTTATAATGCTTTCTCATCAAATCTATACCACAATAGATGTGTTGTTTTTAATGTGCTAACAAGCTTTGTTACTGCAATAAATTAATGCAAAAGCTCCCCAAGTGGTGAAATTTATCTGTTTGTCATAGTACATGGTCTTCCTTATGTGCATACTTTGTTTTGTGATTGGTTGTTCAACTTAATTTGAAATTCTGAGGAAATCCTACTGTGGGAGGGAAAACAAATATAGGAAATGCATGTATCCCTTAAATACTAGTTTAATTTGGCACACTGAAAATATCAATCTCTTTGTTTGTGTTAAATGACACCACAGGAGACCTTGGTGTTCAAATAACTGCATCATGAGCTCCTTTGGCCTTTGTAGGTTAAGGAACAAACCTTGCATTAAGCATGGAAACTGACCATAGGTCATTTCTCCTCATTAATTTATGTTCCTCTTCCAAGAGGGCCAATAAATCAAATTTTTAATTCGTTTTCCCAAAAGACAATAATCTTCCATTAGTAACAATGCCTAGTGTGTACCTTTCATGTTCACCAAAGGGGATCCACAAGTTGATCAAGAGAGAGACAACAGTGCTGGGCTATCCTATTGCCCTATTTGTTTGTTTTGCTTGCTTGTTTGCTTGCCCAGCCACAAGGATTCAAAGCTGGTGAATTTCAGCTGTTGTTTTCATTCAAGTACTGAGGCACCACTGTTAATCTTGAACAACAGAGCTCACACAACAGGAGCGTATTTTTTACATACCTTCCCTCTGAACTCACTCTGACCTTGTTGAGGAAGGTTAGTCCATCCAGATGACTAAATGGACAGTCACAATTAATTTTATATGCACAGACATCTTACTAAAAGGTCTTAAGACCACATGGCATCTCTGAACCCAGTTGTCCACATACATCAAAAGATTAAGAAGTTTAGTGAACACATTTCTTACTCGCTCTTTTCTCCAAAGCCCCCAGGACAACATACACTCACTAGGTTTTTGCTGTCCATTCGACTTTACAGAATAACTGATGCAATGGAAATTGGCCCTATCCAATATGGGTCTATTTGAGGACTAAGGTCTTTGGGAGAGACCGCTCTCTCTGTTCTAACAGCTTCTAAGGCTTGTTTGATGCGAACAAAGCCTAATCGATAGCCTCAGGTTGTAAGGAGACTAGCATGGCTCCCTCTTTTCTCTCTTTCCATTAGCAAATGGCAATGTAGCTGTTCCAAAAGGCTTTTCAGATTTGACTGTGATGAGTTCTTATTGTCTGCTAATGGTTGAAATTTTAAATATTGTGATTAAAATAATTTTAAATAAATTCCATTTTACAGATGTATAATTGCACATTAATAATTTTTATATTAGTGGTTTTTATATGTTTTTAAAATGTTGTGTTTTTGTTGTGCATTTTGGACCAATAGCAAATCTAAAGTAAACCTATCACAAAGTTTTATTGGCAGTGTCTAGACTGAGGGAAGTGAAGGCACCTCTCTATTCTGCTTTGGTCAGACCTCACCTGGAATACTGTGTCCAATTCTGGGTACAGCAATTTAAAAGCGATATCGACAAGCTGGAAAGTGTCTAGAGGAGGGCAAAGTAAAATGATCAAAGATCTGGAGACTATGCCCTATGAAGAGCATCTTAAAGAACTGGGTATGTTTAGCATGCAGAAGAAAAGGTTGAGAGGACAAAGGATGCTATAAGGAAGAGGGGGTAGGTTTGTTTTTTGCTACCCTGGAAACTAGGACTCAGAGCAATGAGTCCACCTGAACATTAGGAAGAACTTCCTGACTCTAAGAGCTATTCAGCAGTGGAAATCTCTGCCTTGGAGTGTGGTGGAAGCACCTTCTTTGGAGGCTTTTAAACAGAGGCTGAAAGGCCAATTGTTGGGGATTGTGCTTTTCCTGCATGGAAGGGGGTTGGACTAGATGGCCCATGTAGTCAACTCTATTATTCTATTATTCTAACTATGTCATGTTGGCTCTGTATTGGTGAATATGCTTTTGTGTTCCCTTAAGTCATGTTAACGTTATTCATTTTTAACTAATAAAAGATTTTTTGAAAAAATAAATTTTGAATAATTTAATTTTAAAAACCCTGAATTAGGCAAGAACAAATTCCTACAAAATATTGTATTACACAAGGGGCTACATTCACTTCCAGTACTGGTCAACTTTCCAAAGATTTATGCTGAACACAATGCACACTCACCTGGCAGTATTGACACTTTGGTAGAGCTGGCTTAGAGACTGCAGAAGCTGTCCCTCCATTTTTCTGTCCTGGAGTTGCTGAGATAGGAGAACTTGGTGCTCATGGTAGATAATGGAGGCTCCAGAATTTGGGCACACCTTACTATAGAAATGGCAGAGGGACTCAGTTGCTTGAAGTTGACCTGTATGGGGTAGGAAACAGTATCACACGACATATAGGGAAGTAAAGAGACAGTTTTCTTAACCAAATTTCTTTAAAGTCAAACTACTCACTCATCACACTCCGTGTCTTCAAGGCGACTGCCAAGGCCAATTCATAAAACAGTTTGCTCTCTTCCACCATATGCCTCTCCACCTGTGTTTGGGCCAGCCACAGCAGAACCTGAACCAACTCCAACTGCATGTCATCTCTAGTCTGGAGTTCAAAGTACAACTGAATGGCCTGCTGAAAATAGTGTCCAGCTAGGCAGTTCGCCCCATGAGAAACAGCCAAGCACCCAAAGTTGGCTAAAGTAATGGCTTGGTTTCGCCTGTTCCCAGTCTCTCGGGCTTTATTCAAGGCCCATAAGTAGTTCTCTGCTGCCTTCTGCACATGCCCTTCTTCCTTAAGGGCAATGGCTAAAAGATTGTGGACCACCCCATCTTGTGTGATGCTGTCTGTCTGTTGTAAAGAATGCAAAAGGTCCAACATGATTTCCACTGCTTTTTCTGGCTGGCAGTTCAATGCATGCATCCACCCCAAGGAAAGGGAGGATTCAAATGCTTCTTCTTCACCCATTGCTTTCCCAAGAACAACAGCTCTGCTTGAATAATGCACTGCTCCTTGCAGCAGCCCATGTTTGAGGTACACTTTGGATAAAATTGCACAGAGGTCTTTTTCCGTGGACACGGCTCCACTTCCATGGGAGAAGGCCAATGCATACTTTAAATATAGGCAGGCCAAAGCAGGGGTGTTGATGGTGCTCTTCTCTTGGACTTTAAAGAACTTAGAGGAATTAGCAAGAATGAAGCCAGCTCTCCAAATGGGAGTCAGTGACCCTTTGACATTGCTGGGGGAATAGAGCCTGGCAGATGCCAAGGCAAGATGTGGCAAGTATTTCTTGTCATACAGGTATGTTAGAATAGGCATGGTGTCTAAGGAGGCAGCAGTGGAGTCCTGGCTGGAGAAACTAGCACAAAGACACTGCAAGTGCTCTGCAAAAGGCAAGACCTCCTCATACTTGCCCAGTTGCAAGAGGAGCCTGATGACAAGGAGGCAAGCCCTAGCTTCCAAAGCAGTGTTGCCCACAATTATGGCTTCCCTCAAGATATACACCACCACCTCTAGTTCAACGCCTGAACTGAAGCAGTGTCCAGGTAAGCAGGCCAGGAGGGCCACTCCTTTCCCAACCATTGGCAAGAACTTTTGCTTCATCTTCTGCTTCAGGTAAATTGCAGCAAGGTTGATATACAATGAAGTGAGCAGGGGCAGGTCTTCAAATCCACAATCCATTGTGCTCATGGCTTCTTCAAAATAGACTCGAGCTTGGGAGAACTTGGCTCTCTTGACACAAAGCCGACCCAAGAGAAAGCATATCCGAATGTGAGCCCAATCAAGATGGCCCCTTTTGGCCCAGTTCCTGGATGTCTCCAGGTATAAGACCAACTCCTCCTCACTGGAGAAGCCATAGAAGGTGGAACTGAGGAAGGAAAAAGAGAGGTCATAGAGACTTTGGAAATGAGACACATAACTGTCTTGGTTGAGGAAAGTCAGTATAGGGTCAAACACATCAGAGTCTTCCATGTGGCCAGCATTCAGGTCAATAAAGAACTTGGGATCATCAAGGTCATCTGGTTCTGGCAGAAGTAAGTGTTCCAGGATAGAAGGTGAAGATTCACCCACTGGACTGGACTGTTCGGAATCACTAGGAGTGGGCAAGCTATTACTAGACTGCTTCCCCCAACCCTCGAACATCCAGCCATCTTTAAGTCCCTCTATAACTGCATCTGAAAGAGACAGATAAGGCATATGGAGATGCTTCCCTTCAGGAGGATACATTCCAGGAATACAAAATAATGTGCAGTTTTCCCCTTTCATACATACTCACGTGATGGTGTCTGTGGATACATGGCCACAGGTTCAAAGCCATCTGTGGGACAAAGAAGAGCCATGAAAAAACTATCTAAAATCATGCCTGGTCAACCAAAGCTTCTTGGACACAATTACAAGATACTTTAAGACTGAAAGTTTAACTTAAACTTGGGTAAGGAAACATCTCAGAAAAATCTCAGAACCTCAAGGAAGCACAGCAGCCTTTTACAGGAAACAATTGTGATGTTAGTTCTGAATAAGAGCTACTGCTCTAATCCGGATTTGAATTTTGATAACAGAAATATCAATCAAATTGTTTAATCACCCAGCTAAATGTAGAGGTCCCCAATGATATCTGATCTTGTTGTAGAGATATAAAGAATCCACACAATTTAGCCTTTAGAAAATTGGTATCTCAACAAAATGAGACATATTACTGGAAAATGGGCAAATGCTATGAGACTTTACACATTTTGGGATGCTTGGAAAATAAAATCAACTCAGCAAAAATCAAATATTTTGCGCAAAAAGCAAATTTTGTTACAGAAAATTGCATTTTGCAAAAATCTCTTTGTGAAATTGAAATGTTTGCAAATATGTACCAAAATACAAATGCATATAAACTCTCAGAAACTTCTCCAGCAAAAAAGAAAAGAAAAAAGAAAAAAAAAGAAAAAAAAGGAGGCTTAAAAAATTCTCCAACCTTGCATGTGAGAAATCTGGATGTACATCATTAGATTTGCAGAAGAAGCAAGAGAATGTTGCTGCCAAAAGGTTTTTGTGTAGGTGGGACCTCCACAAAAGTTGTTTTTGCCTGCGCTAGAAGCAACCATGTGCCCATAAGCAAAATACTCACCAAGCCTGTACACAGAGGTAATGTCTGTCTTTGCCCACTCATGGAGGAGATTACTGTAATGCAGCTCATTACCATTGCAAGGAACCTGCAAAAAGTTGTGGACTTCTTCTTCACTGAAAAACATCGGGCTCTTTCTCCTATGTTTGAAACATGGGTGAAAGCCTGTCAGTGCTTCAGCCCTGTAATCTTGCCATACCCGGTCTAGTTAGTTCTTAATAGAAACTGAAAGTAGAAGGCTATGGTACATTAATGATGAAGTGTTACACATAATGAAATGGTGTTGCATGCCAAGGCAATTCCAGTTCAGAAAGCAAAAGTCCATTGCATAACATTAGCAAGTGATCTGTCTTCTGACCACAAGGGAACATTTTTACACTATGAAACCAATACACAAGTTTTGTATCATGGTCGCCAGCATTAGAATGTGAGACTAGAACTGAGTGAACACTCCAGATCCAAATTTCCCACACACTTATAAAGGTCAGTGCTTGGTCTGGGGATTATTACAATTTCTCAGCCCAAGCATTACAGGGTTGTTGTGAAATAGAGGAGAGACAATACATATAGTAAGCTGAATTTCCTGGAAGCTGGCAGCATAATAATATAAAACAAATAAATGGTGTGCTGAGCATTTTGTCTGATTCAAAAGAGGGGGGCACTGAAGTTTCTTGGCCAATAACTAACTCCAATATTGGTCCTCTGTGAACAAAATCCCAGCCTTCTTCCTGATATTTCAGGCAGTGAAGTTTCAGAAGGGCATGGCTAACTGTAGAAAACAGGGACAAATTGAATGTATTCATTAGAGCTCATTCAAGTGCCTTCTCTGAGCAATAAAACCTTAATTGTGCATTGCTACTGCATCAGCAAATCATAATTGATATTATAGATACAATATTTTTATTTTTGGTTTTACTATTTTATTTACTAATTCATGGGCCAACTTTGGTCCTCCAGATGTTTTGGACTTCAATTCTCAGAATTGGACAACAGTCAAAAATTCTAGGAGTGGAAGTCCAGAAACATTTGGAAACCAAAGTTTGGGAAACATTGTTTTAGGACACTGAGTAAAACTGAACTCTTAAAGAAGGCAGCAGTGACATCTTGTGGAGAACATTATTTCACACATACATGCATACCTTAAAAGATTGTTTTCACAAAAAAAGGACTTAATTACCATCTCCAGCCAACAGGAGAGGCGGCATATAAATAAAATGTATTATTATTATTATTATTATTATTATTATTATTATTATTATTTCCCAGAACAAATATAAAACTGCCTTGGGCAGTTTATATGTATTTAATTCATCGTCTCATCAATCTCCTGTATTAACACTGTTCTCATATGACACAACATAAAATCACATTAGCTGTACTGTGGAAAGATTCTAGAAAGGAATGGTTACAAAGTAGATGAGATAATTAATTAAATGAGAAGTAACAATCAGTTGAAGATAAATTATTTCTTGCAGTCTGGTCTATTAATAGATATATGAAGACTATTCACAACATTTTCCAATTCTGAGTGAGAAACATCCAACAGTCATAAGAACTTTCAGTGTGAGAATGAGGAAAGGAGAGCTTTGATTTCCAATCCAATTTGGGTAATTTGTACTAAACTGATTTTCCTTTTCCCACCCCACTGACATAAAGGAATTCCAAAGCAAAGCAATCCCAAGAGATTGCTATTAAATCTTTCCTTTTTTCCACACCTTCACAGTACATGTTCCAGTTTGTCAATAACTTTTTTGAATGGCAGGGCCCATAACAAGACACAGTATTCCAGGTGACAATCTAACCAAAGCAAAATAGAATGAATGCCTCCCTATCTATAATGGGATTTGGGGTGGTGGTGGAGTTTGCTTTGATATTTACTATTGTAGTACACTTGACTCATATTTAGCTTGTGTTCTATCAAAGTCCTAAATCCTTTTCACTGGCACTGCTATTAAAACCAGGTGTAACTCACCTTAAATTTTTGCATTTGATTCTTCCAGCTCAAATGTACTTTCTTACAAATATCCCTGTTGAAATTCGTTCAGGTCACTTCTACACTGCCCTATATCCCAGGATCTGATCCAAGATTATCTGATTTAAAATGGATTATATGAGTTTCCATTGCCAGATAATCTGGGATAAGAAGATAATCTGGGATCAGATCCTGGGATATAGACGCAGTGTGGAAGGGACCTCAATCTCTTATGGTAAATTTGAATCCTGGGGTTTTCTGGGCTTTTAACTAACCCTTCCATACTGGAGTCATATGCAAATTTAATGAGTACTGTATGTACTCTATTCCATAATTATAAAATATTATAAAGTTATTTTAAAAACCAGGCCAAGGATAGAACTCTGGGACACCTCACTACCATAGTCACGTGTCTCTAAAATGTCAAGGAACCACTGATGAGGAACGATATCATGAACCTTGTCAAAAGCCTAACTGAAATCTATACATCTTCGGCCTCATCTCCCAAACTTTTATCTGCATCTGAAAAGAAGAAGGAGAAGAGAAGAGGAAACAAGATTCTTTTGGAATCTCATATGACAACTCAGTAAAGTTAACATTTAGCTTCACCTTTTCCTGTCAGGAGAGAAGAAAAGCTAAAAACCAGTTTTGAAGGAGGAACAACATTCTTTCTGCAGCTTTAACCAGCTCAATTTCAGAGTAAAAGCACCCACTGTTGAAAAGCAAAGACGAACTCCAACTTCATAAATTTGCCGCAAATACCAGTTAAAGATGTATTGAAAAAGACATTCCAGAGCTAATACCACTTTGCAGCCCTTCTGGTCAGAAAATAGATTGACTGAATTGGCTTTACTGTAGGAACTAGCTTTTAAAACTGTCTACCCTACTTGAAATATAACATCACATTTTTATGGTCTTCACACTCAGAGCTTGCAAAGCTCACACATAAAGGCTGTTGCATTTATATGATACTATCTTCATGGTACTTTTTGCTTCGCCTTGTTACTTAAACAGACATGCTAACAACAAATGATGACTTAGAAGCATCTTGCAGCATGGTGTTTAATACTTTATCATGGATAACCTTAATCACATCCAAATCCATTTCTTTCTAGATCTTCTCTTAAAAACTTGGGACATCCCTAAAGTATATCATGCATTTTCAGCTATAAGAGCATCCATGAGGCATCTTTCTAATAGTCAATCTAAGGACATTATCCCACCTTAACTTTCTCCCCTTTTCTTACCATCTTCATACACTGGCAAAATGGAGTCTTATGGAGGCCATCACATGATGCACAGCCACTTCTGGTGGCTGTCTGTGAGACTCTATCTTGCCCGTGTACGAAGATGGTAAGAAGGCTCAATTTTTAGGACTCAGGTGTTGATTGAAGAAAGCAGCAGGAAGCAGGAAAAAGCCAGGAGAAGATGGGAAAACATTGTGGAATGGCTGGCCATCCTCAAAGATGGACCTTGCTGAGGTAAGGGTCCCCACTCTTTAGGAAGGGTCCCCCTGCTTCCCCCCTCCCTTCCATGGGATAATGTCATAACTCAAGTTACACTTACTTTTGAGAGTTATAGTAAACATTAACCTAAAGCCACATGGAGTCACCTGACACAGCCCTACATGGGTAGAGCTGCCTCTTCCTCTAGGAAGTTCCCAACACACAGTAGGCACAGAATGCTTACATGGGAGACCACTGAGACCACAAAGTAAAACAGTGAAACTAAAGTCCCCCACACCAAAGAAACAAAGTCCAGGTTTTAAAGTGCGTGCCAGGAAACAAGATGCAAAGCTGAGGAGAGGAAATGAAAATGTGACTGATTAAGATTAAAAGTAAATCACTATTCACTGTGCATTGCCCAGGATGCTTAGTTTCTTCAAGGACTTGATATCTCTTGGTGATGTGCACTGATAGGGATGGATTGCTAAGCCATATTGAGGCTGGGAAGGAAAAAGGAATACCAGCAGATCTCAATTCAATAAACATATACTGAAGTCAGAATAAATCATTACTATATTTGGGGGGGGGGGGTTGTAATACGCTTTAAGATGTTTTCTTAAATCAAGAGAAAAAGAAGAACCAAGAACTTCTTCCTGCCTCTTAGCCACATCCCCAAATTGAATTTCTATTTACAATGAATTCCAACATTGCTACAATCTCAATCTACACACTACCCTATTCTCATCTTGTATGAGTATAGTGCATCACACTTACATTGGATCATAAGTCTCGGGATTCACACATTTGCTTTGAACAAAGCCTATTGTTCCAGTAGATGTTGATTTTCCTATAAACCACTGAAGGCCTGGAATGAGAAAGCCAACAGCCTCTATGATGTCTCCTTTGTAGAAGCTCAGTTCATCCCATCCTTTCCCTCTGTAATCCTCTTTAGCCGTACACTTCCCTTGGCCTAAAAAACAAAGCAACAATAAAACAGCCCTCACTTCAGCACCATGAACAACTGAACCATTCTTTCCTGGAAACACAGTGGCCAGTGACAGGGAAGGGCATGCTTATGATCTGAGTATGAAAACAAGATCCCTTTGTGTCACATAACATTTTTGCTTTCATTTGTTTTGGGGCTTCATCTGAAACCACAGCTCATCTTTCTTAATACCAAGCAGCAGGTGCAATGAGCTACCCCTCCCCCCCCAAAAAACCCCCACCATCTAAGAAGTTTCTCTTTTTATTGTGCAAATGCACTTCTCTTTTCTGCCATTCTGTCACCATTTTCCCACTCCTCCAGTCTGAGTTTTTTTTTTCCATCACAAGATTCCAGTCAATTGGGGATATATACTGTCAGGTGAGCACTCATCACTTCCCAAATAATTCTTGAAATATGTATGACTCCCCTGTCCTTCTTTAGTTCACTCCTAACAGCAAGCAATAAAGCAGCAAGGGTAATGTTAACATTAGTTCCAAAAATTTCAAATATAAACTATGAAAAATATGGGTTCAAATCAGCAGACTTTTGGGACATTTTTTCCAGCATCTTTATAAATTTGGCAAGTCCTCAGTTTTCTTGAAATCAGGATGTGTGTGTGTGTGTGTTTTGTTTTTCGAATTGATCAATTTTTAGTGGGTGTTGTGAAATCTTCACTGAGATGAAGAGGTATAAAAATGGCTCTCCCTAAGGGCCATCTTCATAATCTCTGGCAGTGAAATATGAAGCAGAGGGAAGTTTGGGCAACAGTCCCTCTCAACCTACAGGGAAGGCCTTTGAGGGACATCTACTTTCCATAGAAATAGGTTATCCACACATGAAATGAAGGAACTTTCTAGACCTGCCTTTGTCTTAAGCAAGCTATGCTTGAGCTCCTGCCAATACATACATACACAGAGACAAACACAGGCATAGCCTTAATGACACTGAACTCACCAATCTGTAAAATATCAGCTTCACTGATTTGGTTGGAGATTCCACAGCTCACTGGGTAGTTCTTCAGAAACCACCTGAAAAAGTGAACGGTGGTGAACTACCTCATATTTTCAGAGACCAGTTTTCTTGGGAGTCAGATAAAAATAGGTGCTTAGCTATACTCAATATTACCAGAGTTTCATGCCACAGTTTTTATAACTCACACATGCAATCTAAAGCAACAAGGTGTGTGAAAATATCCAATTAGTCCTATCAAAGTAGAGTTACACAACCAAGATAATGGAGATAAATGCAAAGACTGGACACAAATATCATAGACAAATTAAAAGCTTCTGAGAAACATTTAGTTTGCCACTATTTGAGGCAGCTGGGGCTCAACTGCCACGATTTCTTCCTATGAAAATGCTGAATTTTAAGTCTGGTCAGCACTTTTTAGAACTATCTGGATAAGAACCCTATGTTTCTCCATATACTGCAAATTCCAGGACTACATGTGACTTCATGGAATGTCACCCTGGCAATTAAAGTGGAATCACAAGTGCAATAATTGTGTAGAGTGGATGAACCCTTGGTCTTGAGACTATATTCAAGTACAAGAGAGTGTGTTTTTAAATCATCTCCAGTTTCCCCCCCCCCCCCCAATCAGATAACAGAGGATTGAAAAGACCTTTACTAGAAAACAGTTACCAGTAAGAATACACAAATCTCATCTAGATAAACTGTCAAAATTGGCACAAGGCAGTTGCCTATGAAAACAATGTTAGTCTAGCTGGGCAAGATAATTTGTACATTCTTTGTGACAATTTGCTATCAGTGGGCAAAGACACAATGCCCTTTTACATAGATTAGTCCAGCTTTAGATGAATCTAGTACAGGAATGATTTTCATACAGGAATACCACAGGACCTGATGTTGAAAATCTTATTTCTATGCTATGGTTGAATGTTTGAGATGAAGAGCTAGAAACTTAGTAACAAAAAAAAACCCCAGATAAATTCTTATATATAAAAGAAAAGTAAAAAAAACGTTTAAGAACTCAGTTGCTGAAGGTTCTGGGCATGATAGACTGAGGTGCAGGAGAAAAATGAGGTTATAATAAAATAATGTTTACAATTCCAAAAGTGGTGAGTTGTAAGTTAAAGTGAGCAGCAGAGATAGGAAAGGCACCCAGTTTTTTCTCTGAGTAAGATCCAACTTTGCACATGTTCATGATTACTCAATACAATCCTGAGATGGTTTCTAAGCAACTGATTTTAAAGTCAATATAAGTGATTTTAATGTTTATATATATTTATGGTTTTATTTCCCAGCATTGAATGTTTGCCGTATATATGTTGCGCTCCGCCCTGAGTCCTCTACGGGGTGAGGAGGAGGGAATATAAATGTTTTAAATTAATTAATTAAAGCATCATTTCCACCAGAACATTAACAGAGCTAGTCAACTTACTGGTAAAAGGGGTGGCCCAGTGGCTCTATGGCAGTGACAGGCACCAGGCCCCTTTGTTCAGTTGACAGAGATGCTCCTTCCCATTTTGTTTCATGACCAACATCTTTCACATGGACAACCTCATTTTTCTCAAGCTTTAGGTCTTCATCCTCTTCTTCTACCTGGACATTGAATGTTGCCCTGGCAAAGAAGTTTCCTATGCAGAAAAAGAGAAGGAGAAAGGGAAGCGGGTGGGGAACAGCCATAGTTCTTAATCTTTCCAACATCACGGGAACATGTCCTTCTGACATTCTGTAACCTGAGGCCTTCTAGTTATTCTAGACCACAGTTCATATAATCCCAATCTCTGTCTGTGCTGAATGATCTGATGGCAATAGTAGTCCAAATCATGGAGGGTACCAAGAATCTGAATGCTGCTATCGTCTACAAATATACCTGTAGATGCTGTGTGACTTAAACTTGCAAAATTGCTCATCATTAGCCGGGTTAGCTAGGATTGACAAGAACATCAGCCTCAAAACATCTGAAGGGCTGGGAATTGACTGTTCCTATCAAATAACCTCCTTGTACTCAGAATTTTTTCCTGCTCAGAAATCCTGCTCTATGTGTTGTCACTTTTGACAGCTAGTCCCAGGAATGGGGATGTATTTTGTCATGTGCCTCAGTAACAGAATGTCCTCAACCCCAAGCAGCTGGCTTGGTCCAATCTTTGATACTCCTTCCATAAAAATTATGAATAGTTCACTCTTGAAAAATGTCAGCTATAATTCAGTATTTTAAATCAATGCACCATAATTTATCATTTACTATTATTTATGGTTAGTCTTGATAACTTATTGGATATCAGTTTGTTATGTTAGCTTGAAACCTGCTTTGTGCCTATCTTTTGGAGAAAGTACATAATGAAAGTATTTATCAAGGATCCCCCCTCCCCCAGGTGACCATTTCACCCTGGCTAGGGCATAATCTTTTGGGCAGAATCTTCCCTGTTATGTAACTGTCATCTGAGAGCCATCTAAGTCAAGGAGTCATTTGAGTCAGAAGGTGTCCCAATGATTGTTTCAGAGCAGAAAGGAAGAGTCTACTGTGGGGAGGAAGCTCAGCCTCCATATCATTGTCTGAAGGATGTAAACCATGCTCACTGAACTCCTAGCTTTGTGTTAGTATTAGTGTACTGCTCTCTGCTTTGGGAAAAATTCTTGATGGTAAAAAAGTGGATCTTGGCAAATAGATCATTGCCGAAATCCATTCTGGAAGTTTAGAAACAAATAAAATCCATTCCAAAATTGATGAATTTATTGCACCTCCCCACTACCACCTGCAGGAATCTATTCCCTTCGTCCACTTCTCTACTTTAAATTCATCATATAGATGTGAAACACTGATGGGCATCTTTCAGGAGAACTGTATGAGTATGTTTGCCCCATCTTGGATAAATCTGCTCACATGAGGCAGGTGAATATAGGAGTAAATGAGACATGTAAAATAATCACAGGATGTCTTAAACCTATACCTGTTGATAGACTCTATAAGCTAGCTGGCATTGCCTTCCCTCCCAATGTGCAACAGGTAGTTGCTGCCAATTGCAAGAGAAATAAGATTGAACACTGTGAAAGCCACCCACTGCATGGCTATCATCCTCCTCCCAGTAGATGTAAATCAAGGAAAAGTTTCATGAGAACCACCATTCCTCTTAATGTTCTCCCAGAAACAGCAAGACTATTTCTGTGGGCACCAAAATCAGGCAATTCCAACTGGATGGTCCCCCAAGGGGATCTTCCTCCAGGGGCAAACCAAGAATGGGCAACTTGGAAGCCCCTGAACAGACTCAGAAGTGGAGTTGGCAGATCAAAAGACAACCTGGCAAAATGGCACTACCTAGAAGAATCCTTCACCTTGTGTGACTGTGGAGCAGACTAAACAACTCAGCATCTGTATCTGTATGCCTGTCCACAATGCCCTGCCTTATGCACAGAGGAGGGACTTTTTAAACCTACAGACAATGCAGTCGTTGTTGCCCGTTCTTGCTCTAAAACTATCCAGCAGCTTGTGATCCCTTTATTTTATCAGTTTTGGATAAACTATTTTATCAGTTTTAGATAAACTATTTTATGCAATGCTTTTGACACAAAGTTTAGAAAAAGGAGAAGTGTACATGCCCCTTTCTAACTCTACAGTTCTATGATTTTTTAAACACTGCCACATCACTAAAAGGATAACTGGGGAAGAAGCTGGACTTACCTTCCTGGAGCAAAAGACCCAGATACATGGTGGTCATGAGGTCTTCATCAACAGTCACAGTGATCTCAGTATCCTCCACCAAAGCACAGTTCAGCCAGTAATCTGGAGTGAAGAGAAGATGCTCCAAGCTGCAACCCACATAGCCTAATTAACCACATCAAAGGAAGAAAGCAAACATATAATATGGTACTCACATCTACACACGTCTGAGATAAACATTTGACCCAAAAGGTCAGCAATTCCAAAAGGCTGCATCATGCCCTTAAGGTTAAAACTAGATACGCTTTATTTCTCAGATGTAAAGATTCCAACGTAGATAACAATAAAAGCTCCACAAGTACAACAAAATCATAAGCTTGAAAGCAATCAAACTTTCTTTCAATAAAGGTTGTCATTGATCCAATTAATCAACTAACCAAGAAATGAATTTCACTTTCAGCCTCATAGGACTGTTTCCTTGCACCCATTATCTTGACCCATTTTTGTCTGTTCAAGCTTCCTATAGATTAAGTCCTCTGAGACCCAGTCTCTTTTTCTCTCTTTTCTTTGCATGATCTCTTTGAACACAAGAAACCTAGCATATCTGATCTACCAGTTCTTGGCTTTCAGCCTGCTAAACTAGGCCTTAAAAGGAAAACTAAGGAAAAATACAGAAAGAAGCACCATGACACTCACATCACATTCCTACATTAAAGGATGTTTTATTTATTGTTCATTTATTTTTATTTTATTGGGATCATTTTTTTCCACACAGGTTTCATATTGTTTAGACTATTGATCTACCCTTCCCCAATATGGTGCCCAAAGAAGGTCAAAAGCCAAAACAAAAGAGAAGCCCAATAACAACATCAATAATATTAATTTTAATGGTTAAATAAATTATCCAATTAAAAAGTGCACTAATTTGAAACCATTTAAAAGCATTTAAGACATAAATAACAATAAAATATAGCACCCTGCTTTTAAAATAGTAACCTTTTCAATCAACCAATGAATTGCCAAAATTCTATCTAAATAAAAAACTTTTTGCCAGAAACGGAACTGAGAAGGGACAAGCCTATCCTTCTATAAAAGGGAGGTCTTATTTTCTTCCTTTCCCCCCTTCTCTTTAGTCATCACCCTCCACTTGTCATGTTGGAATTCCAGCCACCCTTTTTATATGACCTACCAAGAGCTAGATATGTTGAAAACTTCCATATTTCTTCTACAGTCCTGAAGGAGAGTAGAAAGCGGTTTTCCTGAGCCTGGATGCACACCAGCCTGGCTGATAGTTCCTATGAAACAAAGAAAAGATGATAAGTTCTGGGTGTTCTGAAGAGAACTTCGATAACCATACTTTTCTTGGCACACTGAGTTATGAATGATCATTGTATGTCATAATCTTATTTTTCTTGATTCTTGATATTTGGAACATGGATTTTAGGCCACAACTCTATGCCCATGGTCAGGTGCACAGCAGGGACAATACAACCTTGTCTCTCCCTACCTAATGGAAAAGTAATGATTCATTGTCAGAAGGGGGGCTGTCAAGAAAACAACCAGATTTCTTCAAAAATATTTTGTTTTATTCCATAAAAAGGAGAAAGGGAAAGACAGAAAACAAAAAGAATGTGGCAGAATCCTTTAGTCTGTTTTTAAGAAGAAAAGAATAGTATGAACTTTCAAAGATATAAACTCCTTCTTCTGTCCCCCTTCATCCTAATTTTCCTATAGGCCAAGGCTGTGAATTTGTGCACCTTACTGCAGTATGCTGTCAATTAATTCAGCATAACACAAGTACCAATGGCACAGGTAATCACAGTTTCACCAACCCACTTACAAGAAAATGTATCCTCTCTAGGAATTCTCCAGGTCCTTCAGGGTCACTCTATGATAACTTCCAGTAGAAAACATTCACTTCAATAAGGTTAACTTTTATCTAGAGTTTCTTGTTTAAATTGTAAGTTTGGAAACAAATCCCAATGGATATAAGGGTCAAACTGTAAAGTGACAGTATAGAAGGAATAACAGGAGATGACAACACAAACCTGGCTGATTTATCTAGACCTATCCAGGAACTCAGAAAGGGCCACAGTCCAGTGCTAGACAAGATGCTATGCATACATAATTACAAACACCAAGGGCTAGGTTCAGTCCTTGATGCTTCTAATTAAAAGGATCTCAGTCTTCAGATCTGAGAAGAGCCTCTGTTTGACATATTCAAGAACTATTGCTGGTCAAAGTGAATACTACTGGGCAAGAAAGCCAGTATTCTGACTGGGTATAAGGTAAGTTTTCTTATTCACATGTTCGGATTATAATGAAATGGAGTGCTACAAAATATAAATAATAGCAGCTTCACCTTGAAAAGAGCACAAACATCTTTATCATCATTTTCCAGGGCCCACAGCTTCTTTCTTGTGGCTTCTTGTAGCTGGGGATTGAGGCCCCGTCCAGAGCGACTCTTGACAGTAAATGAGAGGGGGAGCTCTTCAAAGTTCAAAAAGGAAAGAGAAATAGATGATTAAAGAAAAGTTTTCAATGATCACAGCCAGACTCAGTTGAGGAAAAGGAGAAGGAGATATTAGCATAGAGATACATGAAAAGAAATGGTGAAGAGATTGCTGGATGTGGCTCACCCTCCTCGTCCCAAGGTTTCTGTGTAAAATGGGTGAGGAAGGAGTATGTCACGGAGTCACACTTCCAGTGACCTCTGTTGGGATTTCTTTCCCCCAAACTGCCATTATTAAAGGTGTAAAAACAGTGGTTGCAGTTGTCAATGAGACCGAAATTCACTTTCTTTCTTCTGAATGAACTGACCCTAATCCAGTGTAACTGTGAGATTTAGTGAGGATTATAAAGATGATGGCTCTAAAATGGTCATTGTGTAGGACATTCTGTTATAATGAAAGTACAGAATTATGGTTGGGACATCTTCAAATTGCTAGATATCATACCTTAGAATGAAAAGTTTATAAATTTTGGAGACAAACTTTATGTCTCAAATAGCAAAGATTTGCAGGGAAAGAGTGAGTGAATTTAGAGTCCCAGCTTGGCAAAGTGTTTCCAAAATGCTTCTAGGAAAGTCTTCTGTCAGTGCTTACATGGGAAAATCTACCACTTTCAAGGTCTGACTTGTTTCAGAACATGCGTACATTAGGAGTGGAAACAGCATGGAAAGTATTACTCTATTACAACTTAAACCACTTGAATGACTTCTACATCAGGGAAGAAGCAAAGGAACAGTTTTATGAACTGCCTGTTAGGACCCAGGAGGGACACGTCAACTTTAAGCAACATGACAGATTCATATATATGACAAAGCTCTTCTTTACCTCTCTTGAAGTAAACTATAAAGGTACCAAAATTCATGACTTCCTTTTTTTACTCCAACCTCTCTCAATGATTGTGAGCAATTAAAAGAGATTAATGTTTAAATTGACTGCTTCATCCTTAAGAGTCCCTGATAGTGATCTCTCCTTCTACTTTCAAAACAATCCTGATAGCTTTTTATATGTTCCTCCCACCATCACCAATACTCAGAAACACTATTTATAAGGATACATTAAGCCTTTTCAGCACAGATTTACCCAGTTTTTGTAGTGCATGAGCTTTCATTGTGGCTAAATTCATCAGACATCCTCACCAGGAAACTGGTGGTAACTTGAGGATGCATTTGAGACCAATGACCTTATCACATGGGGTCTCCCCCCCCCCCCAACAATGCTGTATTGCCAACCTCTATGGTGAAACAACAGGGATGAGGGGCAACTCTGTTGTCCCACACAATGCTTCATTGCGGCAATACTTCCCCCATCACATGGGGGAAGCAGTGCCAAAGTGGTGCAGAAGGCTCCCATTTTGCAAGGGAAGTATTGTACGACCCTTCCACTCCAGCTGTGGGTGGGGCCTCTGCTGAAAGTTCAACAAAGTTGTGTGATAGGCAACGTGCCCCTCAATCACTTTACTGGTGGGGAAGCATCCTAGAATGCTAGAAAAGCATTGTATTATGAAATCATTCAAGGGCATGTTGTCATGCTATAACAAGTTACAGGTTTCCCCTTATACCTAAACAGCATTTATTTATAAATTTGGAAAGATATTGGGTGGTGTGAGATACTGGCACATACTCTGTTTATTGGTATCTTCTGCATAATCATGTGGAATTAGACTCTGAAAACTCTGTTTCTCTTTGATGCCTTTCTTTTTCTCATTTTAGGGCCCTTCCACACAGCCATATAACCCAGAATGTCTGCTTTGAACTGGATTATCTGAGTCCACACTGCCATATAAGCCAGTTCAATGTGGATTTTTAGTGAATCTTTTATACTACCGATGACAGAACAATGCAATTTACTGGAGTGTTCATTATATCTCCCAGGGAAATTATGCTTCTGTCTGTTTGTCTTTCTTAGTTACAGATGTTAAAAAAATGCAAAGCAGCAATTAGACAAAAAAACTTACCATTTGGAAACCCTTCCCCTACAGCCAATGACACGGATTCAGTTTCCAGAATTCCCTCTCCTATCTGTGCAGGCTGACTTCCTGGATCCAGTTCCCTGGGATTACCTGAGAAGTCACCATGCAGGTAGAAGGACCACTGTCAACTATTTTTCTTAAGAGGAAGTAAAACAAGGGTGTAATGGAAGGGAACAGAGGGATATATAAGGAATTGCCAAATACCCATCAGTCCAGTTGGACAATCAAGCCCAGAGATTCCATACTGGAATAGTAACATCTCCCCAAGAGTTCAAACGGACGTTATTCCCACCATAAGGACTTTGATGATGGGCATCAAACACAGAACCTTATACATCCAACAACATGTTGTTGGTAGCAGTGGAACTATGTCTCTTGTCAAAGTACAGAAGCAATAGACTCTTTCCTATCCAAGGCCAATCCTACTATAAAGCGAAGTGAGGAAGCTGTAGCAGACAGCAGACATAAATTGACACAGAAGGGTTGCAAAATGATACGTTTGTTAGATTTTTGTTTTGTTTTTTTCATTGCTAGGAAGGATTCTTGTGGGACATTCTGTCCCCAAATCAACTCTCATGACTTGTGTGAATTTGACTGTGCACCTTGATTTGTGTAGGTTGAGAGAAGGGGAAGACACTATTTGGTGCTCCATCTCAAAAATAAAATTTTATTGGGAAAGTCCCATCCCTTCCAAAAGGCCCACAGCTTCCCTGGCTTCTTATTACTGGTTGCCAGCTTTGTCTTAACATTTTTTTTCCAACAAATTTATGCATGTGTTGAATAGTAAAACATTTTACAAAGAATCCAGGGCACTCAGGGGAGATAAAGAGACAATGTTAACATAGTTCTCCCAAATTTCTCTGAATTTATTTTTTAAAAATATTACCAATCTTTGGTAGTTGTTTAGTATAAAATACTGCTTATCCAGACTTTCAAACATCTAAAAGGATAATAGAATCATAGAATCATAGAGCTGGAAGAGACCTTGTGAGACATCCAGTCCAACCCACTGCCAAGAAGCAGGAAAATTGCATTCAAAGCACCCCCGACAGATGGCCATCCAGCCTCTGTTTAGGAGCCTCCAAAGAAGGAGCCTCCACCACAATTTACATTTAAATTTAAAGTGGTCTGCCAAGAATGGGAGGAGAGAGATATACAAAAAGTAACAAATAATTTGTTTCTCTTATATAAATATCAGGAATTATGAGCACCCCAGTCCCACAAAATCTGAAGATTCTCCACTCCAGGCTAATGTGTAGTTTGAAGCTCAAAAAACCACTAGATTTCACACATCTCTAACTGGAATAAAACAGAGCTATGTGTAAAATGCTACAGGATTACCACATCCAGAAACAGGCAGATTTGTCCATAATGAGTCATAAGCCTTTGGAACAAACTCTCTATAGTTAGTTATCACTAATGTACTTCCTTGTTAAAATGAAGGAAGCATCCTAAATTTTATTTATTTAAGCAATCATTTCCTTCTTAAGTAAGGAATACTCGGAGCTGTTTTAGCCAGTTCTTTCCCCTGAAATGTAGCCTACAACTCCTGATATTTGTTGGTGGTTTCCCATTCAAGTACAAACCAGGGGTGACCCTTTTGAGTTTCCAATCTCAGGGAGGAGATTGGGGTGCCTTTTGGATTTATTTGTTTTGGCTGCTGAACTTTTTATTTTTAGTCTTCCTCTTCCCTGTTGATTTAAATATATTATTATAACATCTCTGGTAAGATGCCTTAGGCAAAGGGTGGATATGGTGGTGTTAAAGTTTTCAAGAAATAAAGCCAATTCAACTCAGAAGAATTTACCGAGGGAGTCAGGGGAGAGAAATAGAAATTCTGGAAGCATTTTATTCTATGATTACAGAGCCCACAGAAATCTCTCCACAGTAGCCTCCCCACAGTCCAACCGGGTCCATTTCCTCCCCTTTTTATACTGATCTGGGTTACAGTAAGTAGAAACCTGTAGAGACCATTCTGTGGAGAAAGGGCTTTCCTGGTTACTTCTGCTTTTGAGAGAAAGGGGTCAATTTGCTTAGTTTTCTGGAAGAAACCGGAATATCCCATAAATTAAAAATCTAACTTGTATCATGCATTAAACAGTTCCATAAAGCTCTTGTATCCATGAAATGTAGGCTGTAATTATGTTAATAATGCCAAGACTCCATTTTAAACATCCAGCAGTCTCTTCCCACCAAATTCGACATCAAGGTCTTGTCAACGGGTTTAGAAGACAAAATATGTGCCAGGGAAGAATAGCTGTAAAATGATGGCATTGCTTTTGTTACAACACCAAAGAGAAAAAGAAAGATTAGTGGATGATATCACTCTAATAGTTATTTCTTACAAGAATGTGGAATCTCCCTTTGGTTGTTTTGTTTTTTTGCATCTATCCTGGAGATTCTCAAAGTGGATCAAACTATTTCCATTCTTCAGATGGGTGATTTTGGCATGTATATGAAATGAATTGGTTGCAGAACCTGAAATGGCACTAGCAAGCATACTCTAACATAGCTATGTGGCTTCTTTTGTCACAGCACCCCTCTGTCACCTTCTAGAGCAGTGGTTCTCAACTTGTGGGTGTTTTGGCCTACAACTTCCAGAAATACCAGCCAGTTTACCAGCTGTTAGGATTTCTGGGAGTTGAAGGACACAACATCTGGGGACCCACAGATTGGGAACCACTGTTCTAGAGTAAAAGAACCTGGAATGAACAAAGAAAAAATGTTATTTTAAACATTATGTGGTAACTATGTTTGCTGGGACTAAACTAGAGTAATACCAGATATTTCTCAGTAGAAAGGGCATTTCCACTTCCCTAAAAATGTACTAGCTCTACACTGTAGAGCCATGATAACCCAAATCTCCCAGTGTATGCCCACATATATTTACTGATATAGCCTCACATTTCATACTTGGTGCATGTACTCTAGGCAACTGGTGCAATGCCCTAATGAATACATTTTCCATCTCAATTTCAAAGGGGCTGTAATGTGTCATTCAACTCAAACCATAGCAGGGAGGGAGCTTTATGTATTGCTCTCAGTTTTTCTTTACATACACATGCAATAAACAGAGAAGCAGAATGGAAGAAGGATTACACATAGAGAAATATGCACAAAACAAAACACACCCAGTGTTCATGCATATCTCAGTATGTTCCTTGAACAGTCTAAAAACTGTGATAGTTTTTGGGGTTTTTTTGCAGAAATTGCTACTCCCATACTAGACCTTCAAATTTATTCAGTGGTAATGGTTTTAAACTGCTGGCCAACTAGATGATTTATGACCTCATCATATGGGCTAATTTGCCCACCATACACTGGCTCCTCTCCCCTTTTTGCCACGGAGCCCATCCCACAACGTACATCTACTTCCTGTGGGGCTCTGTGGCAAAGGGAGAGAGGAACTGGCGCACACTGCTGTGGTGGCAACATGAGAGGCTTCCTGTGTTGCATTTGCAATAATGGAGGGGAAGCCAAGCGGCGGATGCTCCCCCCCCCCGGTGGGAAGGGGCGATGGGTAAGTTGGGGTGATGGGTTCCCTAAACCCCCTGCTGGTCCCCCCACTGATTCCCTACAATGTGTGGTGAATCCTTAGGTGAATGTGATAAGGTACTTAGATTCCATTTCCAAGCTTCTCTGACCATTGCTAGACTAGCTAGGACATATGGGCATGTGTGAACTGAAATCCAAAATACTAACAGGGTCAAAAGTTGAAAGCCACCACTCTATTGCATATATTCTACCAACCAGAAGGACAGTCCCAGCTTCAATACAAGAGTGCCTTTTTCATTTGAAAAAAACACACTTTACAGAGAGCAGAACAATCATTTGGTTTTTAGCAGTACCTGATGCCATCTTCTTCTCTTGGAAACATCTTTCTCGGGATTCCTCTGAGTGTTGTTGTAAACTGTACCAACTGGCCAGGGAGGTAGGCTGCACTGATGAGCAAGAGGACGACTCTTCACCTGAGGAAGGCATGAAGCCGGACAGCAGTTCAGAAATGAGAGAAAAGGCAGTGTGGGTTATATAACATGCATCAGTGATGGCAAAAGCAAGAACTGTCACAATGAATGGAGTCTTACACCCCCTCTCGCAGTGAAATACTGTTTGACCAAGAGGATGAAGGCTGACTCTTACTCTGCCAATCACAGTTTGTTATTTGTTTATTTTTGTCTCAACTGCTTAGAAAGGGGAAACCAGCCATGTTTAGATAGATGAACTGAAACTAGTTTCAGAGTCTGAACAAACCATTAGAAGCTGGCCATGCTGAGTTTTAGCACCTTGTGGTAAAGAAAGATTTTGCAACTGTTTCCTGTAAAACTGCCACTGAAATACATTAATGAAGCCTCCACAGTCTCTATTTATTGCTTGACTACACCAATTAAAAGTGAGAAAGACTTGAGGGGAAAGGTGGAGGAGGTGTGTGCCACTGGTTTAGATTCATGTTGTCATACTTTGAACTTCCTGGATTCCCCAGTCAGTAGCCATGCTGTCTAGGGATTCTAAGTATTGTTATCTCAAAAATAATTACTTCCAACTCACGTCAGTTTAGCAGTGGGATCACCCAGTTATATGCGTCATTGGGTTAGTTTATAATTCATTATTGTGTACTTAGTAACTTGAAACAATGTGTTAGCAGACTTGTGAAAAAAAACATCATTTTGGGAGCAATGTGACAATTCTTTGTGTGGGATTACATATGTGATGGTTCATTCACACATGCAATTCACCAGTAGGATCTATTCTGACATTGCCATTCAGGTGCCACAAGATCCCAACTAAGCAACTCAGGTAACTTCAAAACCCTACATAAAACATGAGAAGATTCCAGGCTACAGCTCTTTCCCATACTAACTACGCTTCTTATGAAAACTGGAGCAAACCAAGGAAGGAAAGAAGCAGAACATGAAAATGCTACTTCTTTTGGACAACTCTCAGAATCTCCCAGTCAGTACTGCCAATGACCATGCGACCTGGAAAATGCAGGGAGTTGAAGTTCAAAGAAGGACACTGGCTCCAAAATGAGTAGGATTATGAATCAGTTCTGGGTTTTAGTCTGAACATTTCAAAGGATAGTATTTATTTTGGTGATTGCTTTTGGCACCTTGGACAGCTCTTTAACATCAATTAAAACCCAACACAGATTCACCACTCAACTGCAAAAAAAGGTGACCTTTCTCTGCTTTTGGTTTTCCCATGTGGCTCAATATTTCTAATATTATTCAGGTAGCTCAGAGGGGAGGCAAACCACAGGAAATTGTTTGCTGCAAGGATACCACCAGAATGAGCTCCACATGTTACAGTCATCAAGTGATGAACAGACAAACATGCCGTATATACTCGAGTATAAGCTGACCCGAATATAAGCCGAGGTACCTAATTTTACCACAAAAAAACTGGGGAAATGGATTGACTTGAATATAAGCCAAGGGTGGGAAATGCAGCATTTACGGGTCAATTTCAAAATAAAGATACCACTAAAATTACATTAATCAAGGCATCTGTTGGTTAAATGTTTTTGAATATTCAGATAAAACTGTAATTCAACATTAGACAGTCCAACTCTGATTCAACCATTATTCTAACCTTCTTCAATATGCTTACGTATCCTTCAAATAATAATAAATAGAGTAAAATAATAATAGTAATATTATTAATAATAATAGAGTAAAATAATAAATGTAACAATAATAAATAGAGTAAAATAATAAATGTAATAACAACAATAATAAAGTAAAACAATAATAACAACAACAACAAAGTAAAATAATAAATAACCTTGACTCGAGTATAAGCCAGGGGAGACTTTTTCAGCCTAAAAAAAGGACTCAAAAACTAGGCTTATACTTGAGTATATACAGTAAATATGCACTCATTTGAACCATAACCTGATCCAAGCCCTCCTCACTGCTGGAAGTGAAACAGATGGCAAAGCAAACAGAATTTTAGACTTATGTGAATTCAATCAAAGTGAGTGGTTGCTAGCCGCCTTGAGTCCTTTCGAGGAGAAAGGCAGGGTATGAATAAAGTAAATAATAATAATAACAATAATCCAAAAATCACAGAACGAAGTAACTGTTAACTCACAGGACATTTTCTTTCCATTACAAAAATCATCACAATAAGGGTATCAAACAGTATCCTTACTGTTCTCTAACTGTGATTATTACTCAGACTTAATGGTTTACTCTTACACATTATTACCAAGACAGCAGCTACAATCTCAGAATCATTGAGGTTACCACTGTAATCAATAAATCAAGACTCAAAAAATGACACATACCCCATTTTCCCAGACAAAATTAAGAAAACACAGCTCACTGTGCCACAGCCATAAAAACAAACCAACAAACCACAGCATTGCCGGTAACAAGGAGGCAGGCTGAAAATAAAATTATATCATTATGTAAGTGAATGTTCAATTTAAACCGCTATATATACATGTCCTTTTGCCTTAGAACACTTCCAGTTAGCTACAATGAAACCTGCATGAAAATTAATAAAAAGTAAAATGAAATCCAGCCTCATCTACAAATATCTTATGCAAACTTGATAATGACCTGTAGAAGCATGGAGGCAGGAAAGATGGAAGTGGAACATGCAGTTTTCCCCCCATCCTCCCCATAAGGGAAATAGTAAGATTTCAGTATCAGAGACATAAACTGAATAAATGGCTCATCCTGTTTATGGACTGTTCTATCCCCTTAACTACATGGGAAATAAGATTGGGGAGGGGAGCAGTCTGCTAAGTTGACAGAACTTATTAGATTTTATTCTGCAGTTTTGCTTAGCTGTTCATGCTAACTTGTTATTGGAAACTTGAGGATAAATACATGCACCCAGAAAATCAAGAGAAGCCATGTGCGGCAATTAGAAGGAAGGTATAGACAACTCACCTGTAAACCACCACGCCAACTTCCTCTGGAAGGGGATACCAAAACAACAGCCCATGTGTTCCTATCCCATCCAGTCCCAAACCAGTAACTTATCCTTTCTAGAAGCAACAGGACAAGCACGATGTAGTCCACTGCACAGTCCTTCAAATCTGCTTTCTGTGTTATTTGGAAGCTGCCTCTCAATGCACAAAGCATCTTTTGATGGTTGCCTGCATTCAGAAAGTGGGAGGTGCAGCCAGGCCCATCTCCCGAGAAGCAGTAGCAGCTGCCCAATGTCAACTCTTCAAACCACTGGGCTGGTTTCTCTTCCACGGTGCCTTTACAGACTGTAACACAAATGCCAGGCAACACATTCTTGGCATTCTGAGCTATGGTGGGTGGAGAGAAAAGTCCCTTGTAAGCCTGGTTTGGGTTCTACTTAAGAAGGCATGGAAAACCCACATGTCCCAGTAGTATAAATTTGCAACATTGTGCAAATGAGGAACACAACTTATTCAAATCTACCATGTTTCCCCGAAAATAAGACACTGCCTTATATTTATTTTTCCTCAAGAAGACACACTATGGCTTATTTTCAGGGGATGTCTTGAAAAGTATGGTACAAAAATCTACATTTATTCAAATATAGTTAAGTCAACTTCTTCTCCCTAAGGACTCACAACACCTACAGTAGAGTGTCCTGCTCCTCACTTCATGGAGGACATTTTTTTCTTTCACTTTTTATGTCTCCTTCTACGCCTCAGCTTGCAGAAGGACCAGAACCTGACAGGGGGAGCCAACTTTGTTGATAGGGCTGTCCGCACCTCTCCGGTTACCTCCGAGATAGCAGCTATCTTGATGGGGTAGATGAAGAGGGCTGCCTGTCTTCTTTACTACACTGCACCAGTACACTACATAGCCATGCGTATCACTATGTCTTATTTTTGGGGTATGGCTTATATTGCACAAATGCCTAGAAATCCTGCTACATCTTATTTTATGGGTATGTCTTATTTTTGAGGAAACATGGTAATCCCGTGCAAACCTAATTTGACAGGCAATTCACTTCTCCTCTTTGAGAACTGAAAGCATAATCTGCCTACTTGTTTTGGTGTTAAATGATAAGGATTGGCTGGGGATGATGAGAACTCTAATCCCATATATCTGGAGGACAGCAGATTGGAGAAGCCTGCATTTGAAATGTGCAGGGTGTATAGTGTTGCCCATAACTGTATTCAAGTTCTCTACTGGGCACTAGAACTTGAGGACCACTTTCCCCTTGCAGTATGCACGAAAAAGAAAGACAATGGAAGAAACTGGAGATGTCCAAGCCCAAAGTTCACCTTCTAAAATATGGCTTGGGTAAGCAGACCAACATTGTTGGGTGCAGAATTTTATTAGAATTAAAATAGTTTGGGGTGGCTACTCACCAACTCAATGCCCAGACAGAGTTTTTAGCACAGGCAATCCATAGTTCAAACAAGGGAAGGAATGTCTCAAAATCTGAGGGTAAACCAACCCCCACCCCATCCATGAGCAGGTCCTTGGAGTAACCCCACAAATGATCACCCCAATCCATCTATGACAAAATTCTCAGGATTTTGTTTCTTAATAATCCTGAGATCCTTATCTAAAATGCTTTTATCAGAAATATAGCTTCTTCCATCATGTTTCTGTACACTTCTACCTGTTCATGACTCTGTGTTTCAATGATCTGATGGCTCATTCAAGATTGTTTCAGTTCATACAAGAGAAATGCCTCAAGGCAGAGTGAAATACCTTTTCTTGATGCTGACACAAACACTGACGCAGATAAAATCTTGAAATGTACTGAAAGGAGAGAAGGAGGGGACATGCATGTTTTCATCACTACAGGCAGTCCCTGAGTTACAGACATTCAAATTACACATGATTCATACTTAAGAAAAGGGGTGAGATAACAGGAAGTGAGAAAAAACTACCTCTAGGAAGGGGAATTTACTCCTGAGTTATCAAGGGGAAAAAGTGTCTCAGCTGAAGCTTTATCACCAAACTTTGTTTCCACAACAAACCACTTTTTTCAAAATCCAATGATCACAGGGACAGAAAGTGAGGTGAAATCTTCTGAATATGGGCACAGACAGCAAAGCAAGCATCATAGGAGTGTCAACCCTTTCTTATGCTATCCAAAGCTTAAATGTATATTGCATATCTTGTTAGGAAAACCCTATGATAGGATCATCAGAAATCAGAAATGACTTGAAGGCACACAACGATAATTATAGGTCATCCTGAAAGTTCAAAGTATTTAGTAAACCTGCTTTCAATCCACTGATTCATCCAGAAGAATGCTAGAAGCATAATATAATACCATGGCTACTGTCTTACACTTACCCAGCAGTAATATCTGATTAGAAGTGCATAGATTTACACTGCACAGTTGTTGATTTTTTAAAAAATCTAGTGCACTGTGCCCTGCAAATGTTTCCCAATGGGGTTGCACCACTTGCTGCTAACTGTTTTCAATTATGCTGCATCCACTATGTTTAAGATATTGTGCCAAAAGTGCTTAGGAGGTTTACGACAGAAGGATGCTGGCTGGCATGAAGTTGTTCACTGTTGGGTAGACATGAGCAAAACACAGACTTCCTAAATCCTCATCTATCTCATAGGGAACCTTTTAACACTATGAACCTGACTGGGTGACTTTGGGTAAGTCACAGTCTATTAGAAAAAGGAAATACCAAATTTCATCTGAACAAATCAAGCCAAGAAATCCTATGATAGGGCTGCCTTAAGTTCAAACTTACTCAAAGGCACTTAACAGCAATTGTAGCATTATGATTTTATTTTACCTGCCATGGTTACATCTTGTGGAATTCCACTGGATGTTGCCATGGCAATGAAATAGGCTTCATACGGCTATAACTGTGTAGTGTGCAAGGGCCCTTGGTTGTTGTGGCTGGTGGGAGGGGAGAACGCCCTTGAGTATGCCATACTGGATTTTTTTTTTACGTATAGGTATGTGATTCAATGTCTTCAAGTTCAGGTTCTTTTAGTTCTGATTCACAGCTCTAACTATCCTGCAGTGCTTCAGAGTTGAAAAATATTGACTGCCATCATTCATCACCCTTGAGAAGGCTGACAGGAGCTGGAGCCCAACAACACCTGGAAGACCACTGAAAGTGTACAGATCACAACAGTTTGAAATAAGGAAGCTATAGATCAGGCATGGGCAAACTTTCTGATTTGGGGGCCACATGCTAGCACTCCCTGCTAGGAGGACTGGCTGTCCAGTGATGGAAGGAAAAAGAGGGAGGGAAGGAAAAGAGGGAGGTAAGGAGGAAGGAATGAGAGAAGGAAGGAAAGACAAAAGGGAGGGAAGGAAGGATGAAAGGCTGGAAGTGAAGGAAGGAAGGGAAGGAGGAAGGACAGAAAAAGAAGGTAGAAAGGAAGAGAAGAATTGAAGGGAGGGAGAGAAGGAAGGATAAAGGAAAGAGAGAAGGAAGGAAAGACACAAAGGAAGGAAGAAAGGAAGGAGAAAAAGGGAGAGAGGGAATGGAGGGAGGGAGAAAGAGAGAGGAAAGAGAGAAGGAAGGAAAGACAAATGGGAAGAAAGGAAGGAAGGAAGGAAGGAAGGAAGGAAGGAAGGAAGGAAGGAAGGAAGGAAGGAAGGAAGGAGAAAGAGGGAGAGAGGGAAGGGAGGACAAAAGGGTGGAAGGGAAAGAGAAAGAAGGAGGTAAGGAGAAAGGGAAGAGAGAGAGAAGAAAGAATAGCATAGTGTGAGAGAGGAGGGCCTGTGAAAAGAGCCCAAGGGGCCTGGGTTTGCCCATACCTGCTGTGGATTGTCAGGCTATGGGCGCATCTACATCAGGCATCTACATCAGTGCATCTACGTCAAACCTGGGCCCTTCATGTGTTTTGGACTTCAACCCCCACAAGGGCTGAGGGGGGAAAGGAAAGGGCCCGAGGCCAGGAATTGTGGGAGTTGAAGTCCAAAACACCCGGAGGGCCTAAGTTTGCCCATGCCTGATCTACATTGCAGAAAAAAACATTTTGGTACCACTTTAACTGCCAAGGCTGAATACTATGGGATCCTGGGCGTTGTAATGTCTGAAGCACCAGCATTCTGGCAAAGCAAGCTAAAAACCTTGTAAAACTACAGCTCCTGTGAGCCCACAGCATTGGGCCACTGCAGTTATAGTGATACCAAACTGCAATAATTCTACCGTGTGGGTGCATTCTATGGCTATGGAGGCCAGGGTTTGAATACACACTTGGGCCCAAATCATATTCTCTCAGCCTCAAAAGTTGGCCATTGGGCAAACCTCTTCTGAACAAATCATGCCAAGGAAGCGCTGTGAAAGGCTCCCCATAGGTTGGAAATGATTGATTTGAAGGCACACAAGAGCAGCAGTAGTTGACCAGAGCCCTGGGAGAAAGCAAAGCAGAGCAAGAGTGGGGAGAGCCTGGGCTGGCAGAGACCAAGCCCCTGAGATGCCAGAGCCCCCTTTGAGGCGCGGCCTGCCTGGCAAATGCACAAGGAAGCGTCACGCCTGGCAGCCTCTGCCCACGAAGGGGGCTTCCCACGGAGGGAGCGCGAGAGCAGCCGCGCAGAAAGGCAGACAGCTCTACTGACCTCAGGCGGGAGTTCCTGGGGAGAAAGTCCCTGTGGGGCCCGACCGGCGGGGGTGCCTTCTCTCCCCGCTCCTCTTTCCACAGATCTTGGGGAAGAGGAGCTTTCGGGGAAGAACCCACCAGCCGTGTGCCACCTGGCTGGGAGGCGAAAGGAGGCGGCCCCAAGGTGCCCTCGCGAAACGTCTTGGAAACTTGGCGCAGGAGGCTGGGCTGGCCAGCGGCGGAGGAAGGAGCCTCTTTCCCGGCAAAGGCTCCCAGGGAGCGAAGCCTAGAAAGAAGCAGGGCCAGGCGAGAGCAGGCTGGTGTTTGCCAGCAGCAGGCAGAGCTTGGGGGGGGGGGGGCGGATTCCTTTGCCCTCCCCCCCCTTTCTCTCTCTCTCTCTCTCTGTGCGCCTTCCGTCCCAAACAATGGCCGGGTGTGCGCAGGAGGCCGGCCGCGGCGAGAGGTCACCAAGTTGTTTACCAGCCGATGGCCCTCGCCTGCGCCTCCCTGGCCTCAAACGAGCTCTTCTGGTCCAGCCACAGGCGCAACCCCAGGCTCTCGCTCTCTCTCTTTCTCACCCTCTCTGCCTCTGGGAGAAGCCAAGCATTTCGGGCCTGGTTAAACATCAACTGAGATTGCCGAGCTGCCTTTTTTACTCCCCGCCATGGGCCTGGGAAGGAAGCCCCAAAGGGCCTGTGTGCACGGAGGTGGGGCAGCCAGACTCCAGGCTGTTTGTTTACACCTTGCCAACTGGTACGTGCAGCCTCCGCTGTCCTGCTCTCAGCTCCTTGCATCCGCTTTCGAAGGGAAAGGGAAATGTGTGCTGAAAGCCTGGCCAAAACCACCCTTTGCGCAGGCATGACATGTAACT